ACTGTTTTCGGATTAATAAAAAAAAAAAGAAAATTAAGTTTAAATGAATAAATTAAAAACAAAAAAATAAACAAAATAAAGAGATCAAAAGATCAATAATGAAATAAGTTGTTTAAATAAGAACCGGTACCTAAATAAAAATAACAAAACAACTACAACAAAATCTACAACAAAGTTTCCTTCCTGCATTTGTACATTAAAAGCTTTCGACAAAATATTGTATAGAACAGAACCGAAAATAAGAATTCTATTTTCTTAAACCAGGACTTTACCTTCGATAAGTTGCCATTGCAACACTCGGTTACAATGTAGCCTACAAGTTCAAGGAAAAAACAAAACCACAATGGAGTAGTAGCCAAAGAAGCTCCCCTTGCATCTAGAGAGCTCCAGTCAGGCGTCTGCACTGTTTGCCTGGACCCCCAGGAACAAAACCCGCCAGGGAATAACTTTATTTTATGTAAATCCTGTTCAATATCATTAGAAATACCCCTCCCCCCTTTCCTTTTTCCCCCGCCCCTCTCTAACTCCTTTCTGTTATCGAATATGGCTATCCATAACAAAGCTTGAAATTTTACATTAACATAAAGAGATCTGATGGAGCATAATGTAACAGCTTGCACACAACATGAAACAGTCTGGCAACTTAACAGAATCTGATATCGATTGGAAGCAAAAGCAAACCTTGTGATTATAGTTTTTGTTCCAGCTGGTGTAGTTTCACTTCATTACGTGCAGTATTACTATAGGGAACTCGATATCAACGTGCACAGCGAAATGAATCATCTAAATACGAGCGTGTGATGTGTGGTCGATTAAGTGCACACCCCATACTCCTTTCTCACAAAAGCACCGACCTCTTGAATCAGCGTTGCTGTCGCAGACTGCATGCAATGCAGAACGAGACTTAACAAAAGGTTTATTAAACTTTGAGAGGTTGGCAAGCTGGATTTGAAGCTGAGCGTACCATACTTCAGCTAATGTGGTTTCTCGACTCGATCAGATGTAACAATGAGTGCCAGTGATATCAACTCGAAAACGTAAGCGCTTACTTTTACTCCAACTACATTGTACATGTATCTCTATATTCATTTACATAAGAAATTTTTCGTCAATCAAAATAACACTGACCTGACCCC